ATCCCCCCACCCCCACGTGCACCCCCTTCCCCCTGCAGCCAGGACGTGTATTTACCATGCATTGATTGATTTCAGAAAGGCGGATCACGTTTGTGTTTCACACACAGTCCTTCCTTTGCATCGCAAAGCCGCCCTGACGGACGCCCCGTTGCGGCTGTTTGCAGAAACGAGCGTTTCGGAAGAATCGTAGCTTGTCCGTGAACAAGTGTCTAGTGGAAGGCGGATTCTGTGCTTTCCGAAGGGGCACACGCTCGGGAGGTGACTGCCTTCCTGTCTAAAAGGATTCTTCTCCGTTTCTTGTGCTTCCTCGGCCAGGGCTGTTGCTGTTCCCACAAAAATGAAGATGGGGCGGGGGTGCGTTCCTCTTCCGTAATGGTTATAGGTATTAAAGACCAGTGGAGAATTAAGAAAAATGAGTTGGCTATCGTATGACCTTCTGCGACCCTATTCATCCCCATTTCAAGGGGGAAATGTTTACTGCGAGTCCTGTTTTGAGGGCTTTGGCTCCCAGGAAGCGGTTTTCCTGGCGGAGTGAAAGCCCACCCTGCCTAGCCTGAAAGAAGGCATGGTGTCGCTGAACAACCGTGTAAGAGGTGCCACAGGCTCCGCGTGAGTGACCTGTAGATTGGGGTGCTGGGAATTAAAGTGCATTTTGCTACTGTAGGACAACACTTCTTACAATGTCAAAGGCTTCTTGGTCAGAACAGCAGAGAGGAGGATGGAGGGTGCGATGACGGGCTGGTGCCAGGAAGTTTAAACAAAATCCTTCCGCAGATCCTAGCGTGTCAGCCACGCTACAGTGTTGCAAAACCATTCTCCTCTTTTGTAACAATTACGTTACAAAGTAAAGGAGTCAAGTCCGGAGCCCTGGAGGCAGAAAAGGTTAAACTTGAGAGCTGAAAAGTCGGTGCTTTGAGCCCACTCCGTCTGTGCCTTGGAAAACAGGTTGGGCCATGTTTTCCCACGGAAAACACCGTGGAGTAGGCTTCAAGTGCCTGCCAGTGTTTTGTTTTAGAAACCACTGGGAACGCTAATGCCGTGAGCATAATCCCTCTTACTTATTTTTTTAAGCCAAGAATTAAAATTCGTGTGATTGACTTTGCTTTGGAACAGTGCTGTTATTTTTCTTCCTGTTAAAAGCAAGGTGGTTCAGACTCACTTACCTTATTTACACGCTGCATACTTTTCCATGTGCTTGCATTTCTCTAGCCCTGGTGGCGAAGTGGTGACCGGTGGGGCGCCTTTCAAACCTTTTGGGTATAGAATTGCCTGCCGCTGCTGGGGGCTGTGCAGATGGTTTTAGACCCCCAGTGACAGCAGGGTGCCGAGTAGCACTGCCCCACAAAGTTTTCTTGGCTCTAGCCTTCCTGGAAGCTGCTGGCCAGGCCTTCATCGTGCAGCGCCGCCCCAGCGAGTCCGCACTGTCATCCCTGTGGAGAGAGGCCAGGTGTCCCCAGGTCCTAGATGGGCATTTCTAGTCATGAGGTAATAGCTGATACGTTTCACTTTCCGAAGAACCATCCAACCTTCCCACCGAGGTTGCCCATTTTATGATCCCATCAGCCCCTGCTCTGCAGTCTCCCCAACCATGGTTGTTTATTTCATTTCTCTGATAGTATGTGTCCTAGAAAGAATAATATACATGCCAGAGTGAGGGGTGTCTCACATGGTTTTAATTGCCTTTCACTGCTGACATTGGCCTTGAGCACGTTTTCGTTTACCATGTGCAGGTCATCTGTGATGAGATGTCTCTTTACAGTGGTGGTGGTGGTGGTTACCCCCCCCCCCATTTTATTTCTTTTTAAAGATTTATTGGCATGTAATCCACATATCATACAATGCAGTCATTCAGACATATCAAGAAGAGTTGTTCAATCATCACCACGATCAATTGTAGAACTTTTTTTCTTGTACTCATTGTTAGCGCCCCACATCCCCACTTTCTGCCCATTAAAAAAAAAAGTTTCTTTGTATGTTGTGTTGCATGGTGGGAGTTATTTATCTCTCCTGGATTTTAAACCCCTATGAGCTCTCTGATTCCCAGTGGCAATAAAACCTGTGAAAATAGAAACCTGCATTCGGTGGAAACCTGTCAGAGAAAGAAAAGGAAGTATCTTCTAAAACGAGAGGGAGGACAAGGTAAAGCTGCACCTGTCAGGTGGGAAAAGTGTGAGACGCATAAAGGCCAAAGCAGCCCCATGGTGCTGCAGCTCCAATAGGCTTCTTCCCTCCCCGTGTGTGGTCGTCTCCTGACTTTACTGACAGAGCCCCTCGATGCCAAGAGTTTTAGTGTATCTCTTTTTGTCTTTTACTGTTTGTGCTTGTGGCCTCTCATCAAATAATGCATTTTAGCATGTGAAGAAAGGAAATTTTCTTTAGTTGTAAAAATATTGCGTCCATCGAAAAGTTCAACATTACATAGCATTACAAGGTAATTACAGCTCCACTTGAAATCCCAGCCTTGGTGGGGAAAAATGGCATTGCTTTTGTTCTTTTCCCTTTTTGTCCCTAGTGATCGATAATCTGAAAGTATTTCTCTTTTGAATTGGACTTCCCCTGGGAGATAAGTTGGATCACTTCATGTCAAATTCAAATCTTCATTCAAATCGAGGGAACTTTCCTGGTTCAGAATCTTTCAGACTCACCCCTCAGATAACACCACACATCCAATTTACCTTTGCTGAAGGCCAGGAGTGTGCTCCTCCCTTCCTGTAGCTCGGAGCTTCCCCATTGGAGACAGAACCTGTTGCAGCGGTCTTGGCTGGTTCTTCAGGGCCAGGAGGAGGGAAGTTACAGGTGGAGATAAGAGCCCTTGACTATTAATGGAATCAGACACCGACCCCCGGGGGACTGAGGACCGAGCCTCTTCAGAGCCTAACTTGTCCAAGACCAAAACTCAAAAAACTCACTGCTATCAAGTCAGGACTGTCTCCTAGAGACCCCTGTGGGTTTCTGAGACTGTAACTGCTTACAGGAGTCGAAAGCCCAGCCTTTCTCCCACAGAGTTTCTGGTGGTTTTGAACTGCCAGCTATGGGGATTGCAGCCCAATGTGTAACCATTACACCACCAGGACTCCAAAATCTCTTCTGAACAAATCTGCTTTTTACCTGAATTTTCCAGCCATTAGATGGCATCAGCACCCACCCTCTAGATCAGGGGAGGAGTCCACAGTCAGCCTCTGCATCGCCTACTTTCTCCCCAGCCCGCAGTAGGCACCGTATGCAGCCCCCAGCAGGCGGCGGACCGCACCAATGTCAACCGAGTAGACTGGATCCCAAGTGCATAAGACCCACATCTTCTACCATGGCCCCCAGTATCCTACGCAGTAGTGGTGCTTACAGCTAGTTCTTGTCCTTGTAGACCAGCCTTTGGCACTTTGTCAAAACATTTTCAAAGACATGCAGATTTCCCCCGTGGTTCGGCCTCCTCAGGTAGTTCTGGTCAGAGGAACGGGAGCTCCCTCACTCCTATCATTCAGGTCTCGCTTCTTCACACGGTCCCTGCCTCAGGCTCTGTGACTCCCACGTGAGTCTACTGTAGGTTCTGGAAAGGTAAGTTGCATCGAGGGTGGTATTCACCTTGATCTTATAAACACAGGGAAGTGCAGCTGATCTGCCTTTTGCCAGCTGCACTCCCCTGCGCCGCAGCTGTCCAGCGAATGAACCACAGGCCAAGAGGCTCTGCCTGGGCACCCTGTAATTGCAGAGCCAATTTACAATAAACAGCGAGAAACCAGAGACTCGTGCTAAACGGACCTAGCCCAGGAGTCGGAGGACGGCCTGAAAAGGAAAGTTGTGAAGAGTGGATCTTGGCCATTCCTTTTCTTTAGCGGCTGTGAAGGGTTGATCCCTGTAGCAAGGTGGGCGCGGAAAGTCTCCTTCCATCGGGAAAAGAGTGTGTAAACCCCAGACAGCCTCGTGTCCAGTCCCACTCTCAATGAAAGAGAGCCCGGAAGCAGAGCACACCACGTGCACGTGTTGGGTGAGCCAAGTGGGACCAGGCAACGTCAGCAGGTCATTGAGAACCCCGCTGGGGACGCTGGGCTTTGGGGAGGCCAGTGCAGGTGGGCACTAGTCAGTTCCTGTGCTGAAAACGGACTTTGGAAATGACGGCCATGATGGAATGAAAGGAGGCGGGAGCTTGTTAGGAACCATGAAGGCAGACAGCAAGGAGGCCTCCCGTGGGGCTTGGTTGTAGATCAGGAAGTTAGTGCAGGTGTTTCAAAGGGCATCTGCCCACAGAATGCCCCTGCCTTGCTTTACAGGCCATGGATGAGTGGGAGTTTCTCCGGCTGGACTGTTACGATGGATAACCTGGGGGTCTTGTTACAGAGCGAATTGTATTTCAGTTCTGGG